CGTATTATGTACCCATTTATTCATTTCTAAATTATTTTCAAAATGTGATATTGAATATCCACAGCAGTCATACATTTATTTAAATCTGATTCAAGAGATTTTTATCAGATTTTTTTGTTAAAGGTACTTACAGACAGGAACTGGGATGTATGCAGATCTACTGATAATTATAAAGAAAAATCCCTGATCTTAACATTGGTGCCTTCAGAAGAAGAGCAATATATTTTTCCAATCAAGAGTTTCAATTGGCATACATATTTGACATGACAATAACATCAACGATTCGAGATTAAAATAATTGAATAACATTCAATAAATCCAAGTGAAAAAACATTTTTTTTTGTTCTTAAGTGAATATCTAAACAGCTCAAGATAGTATGATACACAATGCAAGTTTGGCTGATAATAGGTGTATAATCATATACTATAATTAAATATATAATTATTATAATTATATATATAATTATATATTTATAACGTTTAGATATTAGTCTTATGAGGGCGCTTGATCGTTACGAGTAACGATACATCTACACAATAAATAAATTATATAAACGCCTAAAAAGTGAACAAAACAGCACCAATATTAAAAAAAAAGAAACATTAAATGTAATTATCTATTAATATTTCGGATATTCATCAGTATGATTATGATGTAAAATGAATCATATCAATCTTTTCTGATTTAACTATAACAATCTATAAGTTTATATAATTAAAATCGAGCACAACAACGCTTGTACAATTCTAAAATTTCAAAAATGACGTAGGTTAGGTATTTACAACAGAGACTGCATAGATATGCTTCTAACAAAAAAAGTAATGTGCGATATGAACTGGTACATTTCTAAAATTTCACAGGTGACGAAAGTTAAGATATTAAAACAAAGACTGCATAGAAATACATTCCCAATGAACAGCACTGACCGATTTGAGCTGGTATAATACTCAAATTTCAAATTTGACGACGGTGAAGTAATTACAACAGAGGCTGCTATTTACACTTCCTAAAAAGATAGCAGTTTGATAATGATTGAAAAACAATAATTTTGACAAAGGTTAAGTAATTGAACTTGGCTGCGTACTTATACATCTCAAATGAATAGCACCCTGCGATTTAAACTGGTATAATTCTACAATTTTAGAATTGGCAGAGGTAAAGGAATAGCAACAGAGACTGCGTAATAAATGTAATATAACCCAAATGAAAAGCACTGCCGAATTATAACTACACCTTTTCATTAATCCCATTTGGTGCCAAAGTTTTTAATTTTCATATCCAAAATCTTTCCCGAGCGAGTCTATCCTCCCTAGACCAAACAGTGTTGTGGTCTATGATTGTAATGGTCAGTCGATTGAGATCTGGCTCAGTGTGTCCAGGGGATCTGAAATGTCGACTGAGAGGAAGGTTTGGCTTGCATTCATAGTCGCTACGATGGCCGTTCATACGTTTGTGAAATGGCTGTTCTGACTCGCCAACATACTGTTTAAAATATTTACACTGTAGAAGATACACAGCAATTGTAGTCTTGCAATTAACATTGCAAAATATAGTGTATTCCGTACCAGTGGAGTGACTGTTAAAAGTCTGGGTATTCAGTATTTGCTTGTAATTCAGGCATCGTTTGTTTCCACATCCCTTGCAAGAGCACACAGACGAAGAGCCTGATATAGAGGATAAATTGGAAAGAAATTGAAAAACATCCTAAACTATCCAAGATCTTTCCCGAGTCACCTATACTGGCTTTCCGCAGGCCAAAAAAGCCTTAAAGACTTGCTTGTGAGAGCTGATTTATCCTCTATTTCAGGCTCTTCGTCTGTGGGCTCTTGCAAGGGATGCGGAAACAAACGGTGTCTGACTTGCAAGCAAATACTGAATACTCAGACTGTAAATAAGCAGCCTCTGTTGAACTCACTTCACGGTGTTCGGTTTTAATTGTATAAATTGAAAGATTGTTATAGTTAAATCAGAATAGATTGATATGATTCATTTTACATCATCATCATATTGATTAAGGATATCTGTTATCCGAAATATTTATAGACAGTGGCGTAGCTAAGCCATTTTTAAGTGTACGCCCGAACTTCGGCGAGAGGTTTGAGGGTCCTCAGTGGGTACAGGGCAAGGGACCTCCCAGCAGGCGGAAGCTAACGATTTATTGAGACAGAGAGAGAGATACTATTTCTGTCATTAAAACTCATCAATAGCAACATACTTTAAAGTCTAATTTCTTGATTTTTTTTCATGTATAATTTATTCAGTGTGTTGATTTTGGAATCTAATGACCAATAGTTGTTACTATGAAATATGTTTAAAAGGAGATGTGGGGTAAAACAATCAATCGACCACAGATCCAAACCTTTCGAAATATAAAAAAAAGCAAGTCTACATTTTCAATAGTGTCGTTCTTTTGATTATTATGACTTAATCTAGTTTTCTCCCCTTTTGTGCGCAAATTTCGTTAATGGACAAGTACATTCAATAATAAAGTTTCATAGATGGTCAGGTGTGATATAAATATACTCAAAGGGTTCCGTGGAATCTTGTGTTTCGCCTGGGATTGCTGCTGTCGGTTAAACTATAAAAAGTGAATCTATTTATCAGTCAAATACAGGATTTAAAAGAAATCAAACTTTTCTTTAAATGTTTTTCTTGATCTTGGAAGATAAGGTTCTGTCCAAGTTTCATAACAATCTATGAAAGTTTACAAATGTAGCAGGTGAAAAATATTTAATTCAAGACCGTCTGTTAATTGCCCCAAAAAAATGGTAAAATACTGAAAAATGAAAAAAAATATAATTTTTAGACTGAAATTTGCTGACTGTTATAAAAGTTTTGAAATCATTCAAAAATAAAGGAATATATCTCCCCCATACAAAGCTCTGATTCTTTGTCCGGAATTGGCTATACTTTAGGTACGTTTTATTTTGATCAGCTCTTCCAATGTTTTTATTAGGTTTTGGATTTTCAAATATTTCGGCCTCGAGCATCACTGATGAGACATTAATTGTCGAAATGCGCATCTGGTGCAAAAAAAAATCGAACAGTTGGTATTAACATTTTTACATAAAATTCGATGAAGTTTTGACAAAGTAATTGATGCGTAACAAACAGTATCTACTTGTTAACTAATAAAAACAATGTTCTTTTCAGTAAAATGCGGAAAAATTAAAAGTAAATTTTCATAATTATGCTCTGGAACCGATACTTTTGTTATCATAAAAAAAGTATCTGCCTATATTCTGTAAAATTTCATAAAGGTTTTACAAATTAAGTGATGTTTTAACAAAAAATTTAACCACAGGCTGAACATAAATATTGACGACGCCAACGCCGATTACGGAATGTCTCGCAGGCTCGACAAAACTGCATATCGTATCTCAGCAGATAATGAATTGCTTTGTACACTTTTTATGCGTTTATATAATTATATATATGTATATATAAAACAATATAATCAAATCCTGCTCGTGTAAGCATCAAGCAAGATAGCAGTATGGTATTTCAAGTACAATTGACACCATGGATGATACCTTAAGAACTGGCTGTCATACTGAATATACATATAATGTGGAAATGTCTCTATCCTACTTGTATCTATAGCACAACTAGAGGCTCTAAAAAGCTTGTTTCGCTTTCTTAGGTCTATGCACATCTTCAAAAATGAAAATAATTAATGACTTTAATCTCTTTTTGTTGAAATTGAATTGCTGATCATTTTTCTGTATACAGTTTCTCTCTATCTTTTATAGTTTTTGCTCAAAACCATGGGGGGTCTCTTCCTATATGAAGGTATATACATATGTGCCGCTAGAATGGGTCTCTTTTTTGATACGTCAAATATATCAATGGGGTTCAATTTTACCGAGAAAATATATCAATAGGTAGTAATTGACCAATTGTGATATATCAATGGGTCATAATTTTTCAGTTTGTTGTGCAACGATCTTCACTGAATGGGTTATGATTTCGCTGTGAAATATATGTATAGGTAGGGAATTCACAATTATTCAATATATGAATGGGGTGTTTTTTAAATCCCAGCTACACAACTGTACCCAAAATCCCATGTTGATGACTCTCCCCCCCCCCCCCCCCCCCCCCCACCCGTGCTCAAAACACAAACAAGGGTAAATAACTCCTATAAGATGGTGATGTTGATGGATGGCTACTTAACGTCCAGTGGCAAATTAATATGCATATTCAGGCCAAGAACATGTTAATGTAATATGAATTTACCCTGCTGTGTACTAGATCGACACGCTGAGACGGATTTTTAACGTGCTAGTTCACAAAAAAATTAAAAACAACACGTTAGAAATTTCATGCTATTGAAGCGCTTTTCTAGATTTACCTTCATCAGGAACGCTCAAAGCCGAATATTTGAAAGCCAATGATGTATAAGGAACGAAAACGTTGAAGAGCTATAAACCAAAAAGAATCACAAGGTAAGCAGGAAGACATGTCACCTTATTCTGACTCTGAGCCGACCAGTATTTACTCTTACTCCTTAATGCCGCGTGCTTAGTGGAGAAGCAGAAAATACCAATATTAAAGTCTTTGGTTTGACCCGGCCGGGGTTCGAACCTACGACCTCCCGCCACGCTACCACGAGACCACCGAGGCGGTAACTCCTAAAAGAAGACAACTGACAATTTTGTCTATGCTGACCTATTTGTAGATCATGTCTTGTTGATCATATTTGCTTTTTAAAGTTTCTTTCTATCTCATTACAATTTGCAAGATAATAGACAAAAACACAGAAAAATAGTAACAACTGTCATTAAAAATTATAGTATAATAGTCCAAGGCACGATTTATAAAAAACCAACAATATCGACGCGATTTATTGGCACCACCTTTTTTATTTGTTTACGATTTCGAACAAAGACTTGTTCAACTTTTTCCTTGCCATCAACCTTTTCGCCTTTTGAAATTTGCCGCGCTTTTATTCTCATTCTATACTTCTCGAGATTTATTCACAACGTGTAAACAAAAACAATATTCACGTTGGTAAACACGTTTCACATGGCATTGTACTATAGTTGTCCGTAGCTAAAACGTTGTGTTAGAAGTTGTTGTCTATCAAATTGGATTTATAAAGAAAACCAAAGAGAAAGTAAATTTTAACAAAGTGTTTATTGTTTAATGTGGTTACGATCAGACACCGAACATTAATATTCGTGGTATTTGTGGAAGGAATTTATAATTTAAATTGTACTCAAATGTCATCCCTAACAGGAAAAACAAAATGTAAGTTTAGCTTATTTTACATTTGCATTATTCATGCACATTTTTTAAACTTTAAAACCAATTCAAGATTAAAAGAAAAACGGTGGAGGGGGAGGGCGATGTGGTCACGAGCCGGGCCGCATGAATGTGAAATGGGGTCGTCTCAAACATGTTAAGACGAGCCACATAAACGTGTACATGTATGTGTTTTGAACCGAAAATCAGGTATTTTTTTTGCGTGATATTAAGAGAAACTTGCTTTTCTGTATAATTCAAGAGGAGAACTATTTAATTTACAATACTTGGGGAAACCTGTGTGTGAACATGTGTGGATGGGGGTCTGATTGGGTTTGCAGAAAATAGAATTATGGGCCAAAAAATAAAGAATAGAGTATAATGAATATTATATTAATGGGGTGCTTTGATATAAAGTAGTGAATATAAGGCAACAAAATTAAAAAATAGACAAAAAAGACTACAGAAATGTGAAGACCGCTTTCAAGACCAACATGAATTCTGCCTGTAACCAGTCAAAGATATTATAAACTCTATAGGGTTATTACAGAAAACTAACATACATTTGTGACTGGTAATGGACTTATAATTTTTTACCTGGGAGGGGAGAGGGGGGGGGGCTGGAGCTGGTCAAAATGTAGGGGGGATCAAGTTTTTTCTGTAAGTGGAAAGGGGGGTTCAAATTTTTTTATAAATTCAAAGTGGGGGGATCAATTTTTTTTGCACATGGATATAAGTAGTTTGCATCCTTCATTGTCCTTCAAGGGACTAAATGTTTAGAAAAACATTACAACAGTCAAATGATAATATATTTTTACCATCATTGATCAGATTTATTTCATTACCATATATATATATATAATAATTTGTGTACTGTATATGTAACTGATAAAATTTAGTTCACTGATCACACATCAACATACCCTTCAGGACCTTAAAGCTTAACAGTTATAAATTCAAACTCGTCAGACTCATCTCCTGATGATTCGATTTCATCATCTCCTGTACCTTGCATTTCAAGAGCTTCATAAGAGTCTGATTCTGCTTGATTTTGATTTTCATCTGACTTTTCAAGTGCATAAGATTTTGGCATTATACAGGTAGACTTGGATTTTTTATTGTAAACATTCTTCCCTATCTAAATTGCTTCCGTTTTGAAAGAAAATCTAAAGCAGAGAGTTTTTTTTTTATAGCTGCCAATTCCTTTCTTGATCGAATTGATTCAAGCCCATTTGATACCAATTCTTCCACCTTGATGAAGTCCTACCCATGGGTAGTTGCAAATTGTTGTTTTATTCTTTTGAGATGCTCCCTCAGTAAAACATTTTAGTGATCGCACATCCGGGCTTTGTGACAGTCGGAATCGACCACGGTATGATTTTGTCAACAACAAAAATGGCGAATGACTAAAAATGGTATGAGATTGGCAAAAATTTGTTTTCACGGCTGAGTGCTTCTCAAGACATGATCAATCGTTCGCAATGCAAAATAGGGGTAAAATACAAATGATATGCTTTGTATAAATGTGTAAATAGCACCGACCTAATTATCAGATAATTTATAATGTTATTCATATGATCCATGTGAACCGATCGATCATTATATAAATTTTTGATGCACACGATTTCTGGATTCACGTTGCTTCATTAACAACATATTTAATTTTCGATTTACAGGCAAGTAAGTTTATGCGATGAGGTGGTTGCATTTTATAATTATAGCAATTGATTATAACATGCATAATATGACATTGAACATTTTAGTCCAAATAATCATGACCTTTTGAAAAGAGGGGGACGAAAGATACCAGAGGGACAGTCAATCTCATAGATCGAAAACAAACTGACAACTCCATGGCCAAAAATAAAAAAACAAACAGACAAATAAAAGAACAGATGACACAACATAGAAAACTAAAGACTAAACAACACGAACCCCACCAAAAACGGGGTGATCTCAGGTGCTCCGGAAGGGTAAGCAGATCCTGCTCTACATGTGGCACCCTTCGTGTTGCTGATGTTATTACAAATCTGGTAAATAGTCTTAATTCGGTAGGTCTAATTTGGAAAAGGGTAGGGTATTGTAGTTACGACATAAGGAACATATCCGATATCATCTGTGAAACGGTTATTCCAGCTTTTTTATTTATTTGCTGTGACAAAACTTTTGTCAAAAGCAAAAAATCGAAATAGGTTTTCAAGAGTCATATTTATTTGGACTAGGAACATTTAATTTGGTGAAAATTGAGGTGGGAAATGACAGTATGTGCCGGTTTCAATAGACCTTGATCACTAACATGAGGATACCAAAATTTATCAGTTTTTTAACCTACGTTTATTTAAGGAATAGACAAAGACCTGTTGGTGGCCTTCTGCTGTTGTCTGTTCTGTGGTCGGGTTGTTGTCTCTTTGACACATTCCCCATTTCCATTCTCAATTTTATTTAAAAGTTTCCATTATGCGTTGGGTAACACGAATGTCCGAATAACACCGTTATGATTCAAATAACACTTGTAATGACTGAATAACACTTGAAATTTTAATATTAGCACATATTGGTGACATTTAAACATTGATTATTAAATAATATTATATTATAAGTGTATTTTATAACTTAAAAATGATTTACCATGTTTACAGAAAGCAGGTTAGTTCATAAAGATCATTATAAATATTAATGTGTTCATCCAAGGCCATCCTTAAAAAATGTTTGTTTCCCCACACCCCTACCCACATTTTACAAAGTGGCTACATATAGGTAGGTAGGTGTTTTTTTTTTAACAAAATGTTTTATGTTTTAAAGGTCTTAATTGCTTTAGCTCTCTGATGGACGGAAATTTTGTTAAAATGAACAGGGAGACTTCAGGGAAAATTGAAGGATCGTGGTAATCCTTTTTAAGAATCAAATTTTCCAAGCATCTCTACCTTTTTGTTATTTTTCAAAGCATTTTTGCATGACAACTGCTAAGGTAGTATGTCCTTGCCATGCTTGTGGTCTGAATTACATTTGTACCCACATATATGCAAATTGTCAAAAAATATAAGGACCATAAGAGCTACGGTTGTGCAGCTACGTTTGTTTTAGGTCTGAATGAATTGATGATTTAACATTGGTCAAATTTTGCCGCATCTCAAAGATTTTTCCAAACAAAAGTATGTTTTGGATTGCTCACAATTGTGTTTCATAAAGTAAGAACCCTTTAGAAAACAAAATAATATAAATAATCAATTGATAAGTAAGTTAAAATCTCTTCAATAGGCTTCACTGTCTTTCATTGCTAAGATCATAATTAAAAATTATATTTGCTCTTTAAATGATTTTTAATAGGAATTCAGAAAGAAAACTTGTTAGTCACGGACACTTGTTGAAAACGTATAGTAAAACTTTGTTAATTTCAAATCGTGTGCGATTGTTTGCGGTATTTTCATGTAAAACCCTGTTTCCCAGCATCAAGTTGCCCCTGTGAAATACATTTAAATTATTCTAGAACACTTCACGAGTGTTTAAATATGACAGAATCACAAAAAGAAACATCAGAAAAGTAGTATTGTTCATTACCAGAAATTGAATAAGTACTTGTAAATCGAAAACAATTACGGTGCGAGAAGCTGCAAAAAATTGTACTTAATATTTTATAAAAATATACGACTGGAAGTTAAATAGTGCCGTCCTTTAGCAAATTCATGATATAAAACTGAGAATGGAAATGGGGAATGTGTCAAAGAGACAACAACCCGACTATAGAGCAGACAACAGCCTAGGCCACCAATGGGTCTTCAATGCAACGAGAAACTCCCGCACCCAGAGGCGTCCTTCAGCTGGCCCCTAAACAAATATGTATACTGGTTCAGTGATAATGGACGTCATACTAAACTCCAAATTATACACAGGGGACTAAAATTAAAAATGATACAAGACTAACAAAGGCCAGAGGCTCCTGACTTGGGACAGGCGCAAAAATGCGGCGGGGTTAAACATTTTTTTTGAGATCTCAACCCTCCCCTATACCTCTAGCCAATGTAGAAAAAACAAACGCACAACAGTACGCACAGTAAAACTCAGTATAAGAGAAGTCAGAGTCTGATGTCAGAATAGTATTCATCAAAATATTGTTTAAAGGACCTTTAGCTAAAACAAAGCGCATGTAGAGGTCTGTTACACATAATCCTGAACGAAAACCGAGTACATTTTGTAGTTTATACATCGTTGTGCTGGTTCCCGGCTGACTACTTGATTTTGTACGTAGTTTAAATACAAGCCGAATCTAGTTTACATTATGAACCATTTGAAAAGAAAATAAGAAAGTTTTAATGAAGTATCAAATTTTGATAATTAACAGTAAATATAAGATAATCAAAATTAAAATTGTGTATTAATATGGATTATGTAAATGATGAGAGTTTTGAAAAGATAAAAGGGCGCCATCTACTATTTAATAACAAAGATGGCGGACAATAAACAAACATCGCGAAATCGAGTATTTTTCTTGTTTCTTGCTTATCATGCTTATAGTACATCCTTTCAAGCAATTTTAATGATGGAATATAATTCCGGGGACAAATCATACTGAATTAGGGGATAACATGTTTTGTATTTCGTCAACTATCAGACCGTTTACTTTTGGATCGAGAATTTTTCTAAAATCAAGAGGCGACATTGGGGAATTTTACTGAAAATCGGGGGCGACATATTTAAATATAAACTTCTCCCTGGACATGCTGGAGCTTCTCTAGAGCGAAGTGGGGAGTCCTAGAACGACTTCGCCTGGTGTGGTGACCCCTGCATGTACTTTGATACTTAATTAGTGTTCAGTGCCCATTTATTTACATCAGTGATTTCTGAACATGCTGAAGTTAAAAGTATTTTTAATAATCAATATATAAATATAGGAATAAAATAGTAATATTAGAAGTGGCATGATTGCCAATGAGACCACCAGAGTCTTTATTACGTACATTGTGGCTGCATGTCCATTTGACAAACCACACAAGAAACCAATATTGTTGAGTATTATATAGTGACCTTTTCCAATTCATTTACACCTTTTGCTTCTGATTCCCAATTTAAAACAAAACATTCTTAATTAAAGTGATGATATGATTAAGTTATATATAATTATCGCCCTTCCTTTATTAAATCATGATTTGAACACTGAGATTTTTTTTTTACTGAATTGTCAGTAAAGATTTATCATGTTTATGCAGGTAAGCTGCTTTAGATATATCTCTCATATTTGCATGTTAGGTAATTATATATAACCAGATAACTGTTCTGGATTTTACTGCAAAGCTTTGCTAGAAAAGGTGTACAATATCTAACTTAGAGTGCACCAGTGCAATGTTTTCTTTACATTCCAAATCTTATTTCTTCAATGTACATGTACTTGCAAGAAGAACATATTCTTTTTGACATATTTAATTTATTAAATAGAAGTAAGAACTTGGTTGATAGTTTTCCAATTTAAATTTTTTTTTAATAGTAATAATATTGATCCCTTTTAACATGGGTTCAAAATTAGTATTGCTCATTTTTCATTCTATAAACTTTCTATAACTGAATGCCCTGAACAAGCTCAGCTGCTCAGGGTACATGTACATGTTACATTTGTACATGTAGATCTCCCAAAGTGACTTGGTATTGCTCTTGTTTATCTCAAAGTAACCAGTTCTAAACTCACTATGGTACAATGTACATACACATGCAGAACTAGCTCAGGATACACATGGTACACTGTACATACACATGCAGAACTAGCTCAGGATACACATGGTACAATGTACATACACATGCAGAACTAGCTCAGGATACACATGGTACAATGTACATACACATGCAGATACCAAAGTAACCAGTTCTAAATGTAATGGCTGATAACAACTGACAAGTAGTTAAATCAGTACTGTAAAGTCAACTAACGTAATGGCTGATAACAACTGACAAGTAATTAAATCAGTACTGTTAAGTCAACTAAAGTAACGGCTGATAACAACTGACAAGTAATTAAATCAGTACTGTTAAGTCAACTAAAGTAACGGCTGATAACAACTGACAAGTAATTAAATCAGTACTGTAATGTCAACTAACGTAACGGCTGATAACAACTGACAAGTAATTAAATCAGTACTGTAAAGTCATCTAACGTAATGGCTGATAACAACTGACAAGTAATTAAATCAGTAACCTAATGGCTGATAACAACTGACAAGTAAATAAATCAGTAACCTAATGGCTGATAACAACTGACAAGTAATTAAATTAGTACTGTTAAGTCAACTAACGTAACGGCTGATAACAACTGACAAGTAATTAAATCAGTACTGTAATGTCAACTAACGTAACGGCTGATAACAACTGACAAGTAATTAAATCAGTACTGTTACGTCAACTAACGTAATGGCTGATAACAACTGACAAGTAATTAAATCAGTAATGTAAAGTCAACTAAGGTTAAGAGTAAGTCTATTCAAGCATTGTCAAGCCATGGTTGGCAAAAACCCAGGTTTTATGAGTATTGTCCAGCCCAGTGGGAAATGCTGGGAAAACCCGGCTTTTACTGGGCAATACTGGTTGATATGAAATAATTTCAAGCTCTAATATGTTTATTTGTGTTTGCTAATTAATAGAGTGAATAGAGACGAAGTATTCTTATTATTTTTCTGTATTGACATTCTGTACCAATTTTGACATTGCACAAGCTCATGTCTCATCCTAGATGTCCTACAATGTTTATGACTGTATGAAATCTACTCTGAAGTACAGCTGCTGATATCATGGATATTAAAGTATTTGAGAACATTATCTCCTATCAGCAGTTTACTAATAAGCATAATGAGCTTGCTATCAGGAACAGTAGGAAATGTTTGATAAATATGGTCATGATGGTACAATGTACATGTAATATAAATGTATAAACATGATGAATAATCCTCTTTTTAAAAAAATATTCAGGCCCAACTATGTCATTATCAATGGCCTTGGTCAGTCGGCTTATTGCTAATCATGCTAATCATGAACACTTTGTGATTTAAAAAAAGGAAGGTTAACAAAATATTAATAACCAGCACCTGCCAGTATATTTATGGATGTTATGTAAGCATTTTTTCATGTAACAATTTGTCAGAATGTATGATCATAAGTTAAAATATAACAGTTATAAATTATAATACCAGTAAACTCGCATGTATATAAACATGTGATTATATGATTGTTCTCATTAAGATTAATCTATCAATTCTGGAGACAGCATTTTCCAAACAGATGAGTCCCAAGCTGCATGAAGATTCTATAACATGTATAAGATTATAAGATGAATATAGAAGTCTTCATCGTGACCATTTCATAATATGATATAATTGAATTAAGTACATGTAAACTAAATCTAATTTCCCTGACTTTGTTTTCTAGCAGAGAACTAAAACTAATGAGTTCAGGATTTGTTAATGCTGATATTGATTTTATGGAGATAAAAAAAGAAGAGAGTAGAGATCTCATTTCAACAATAATCATGATAATCATGATAATTAGATAAATGTCAATGGATGTATAGACATGATAAATATGTTGAAACTTTATGGACTATAAGACCATAAGGTCCCTAAATAGTAAAGCCAACTTATTTTAGCTCAACTTTGCCTGAGGGTGTTGGGACCTAAAAATTGTTTCTTAATTATTTCATTATTTAATATAGAATTTTAGAAACGTATGTTATAAATGATGTCAGTACTGGAACACTGACTCACTTATCTGATTATTCCCTTAGATACTAATAGTCCACCAGCAGAGGTATTGACCCAGTGCTAATCCTTTATAAATTTGGTTCATTTCTTGATTTACCTTCATCAGATAAGGCTCAAACCTAGTACATTTGAAGGCTATATTTATATATGTACCAGATAATACCTTTATTGTAGTTAAGTGCTTTTCCTGAACATGCTGAAATTGCTTAATTGATTTTTACTGTAACGATTGTATGTTCTTCTGTGTACCATTTTGTTATTCGATTCAACTTTTTTTCACAGATAAAAATTGAGAAAAAAGGGGAATGGTAATCATGATATAAACATGATAAACAAGAACACAAGGTGTTATATTCATATTATCAGTTCATGTCCTAACACTTTGTGCGATCTTGACATTCAACAGCTGTAAATTATATTAGCACCAATACCAATTAAGTCCCATGTATAAACATGAGCACTTTATACACCAGAAAAAAAGTATTTCATCACCGCGACCCTGATTTTTCTCACAAACTAAACTTGCTAAATTGTTTTAAGTATAACATATAATATTATTTATGGCTACATTAAATGAATTATGCAATTCTGTTAATGGCAAATACCACAGCTGGCATAAATAAAACAAAAAGGTTGAACATGTTGAAAAAAGTTTAGTCGAAGAAGACTGGATGCCTTGGGTACTAAAAATTGACAATATTCAACTACAAATGAACTATGGGTGCCTACATGTAGAAAAGTTCAATTGCACAATTCCCTTTTTAATGGAAACAAGAATATGTGTCAATTGTAGCAATAAATACAAAAATTTGCAATATCGAGTGAAATTGGCACCGTTCAAAAGATTTGCTGATGATTTCTATATGGTTTGAATGTTGAATGTGTTGTTGTAGGAGTCTTTTCTATTCCTTGTGCAAATTTTGAGATGAATAATTGATTGAGCATATCTGGGACATGATTTATCTTCATGGTACGTGAGAGAGAACCACTAGTTCAGAATTAGCTCAAGCTTTGCAGCAAGATTTGCAAAGACTACCACAACAACAAACTCAATGTTTTATCCATTTAAGGAAAAGTTGGTTAGCTTCAGTGACTCATGTGAATGGTGGTTTCACTCGGTATGGACGTTGTTGTGTTAAGTGTTACCATTAACCTATTTAATTATTTATATATTTGGTCTTTTCAATACCAAAAATGGCCTCATTCATATACATCTACTTTTGGGGCCATAATTAATATAATATATATGTTATTTTGGTCTATGAGAAAAATCAGTGTGGTGTGGTACCTTTTTCCAGGTGTATATAATTATGTACATATATGTCAGAAATTTGAAAGGACGAGTTAGCTGTAGATTCAAAATGTACATGATGTATCTTATTTCTACAACTGTCAATTGTAAATGATTTTAACATATTATGTGTACTGTACAGCCGTGTTTACATAGTGTGTATTCATTATTTCTCGTGTGGTACACATTTTTTGTGGAATTTGTGTGTATAGATAAACCATTAATGAAACTGTTCCAACAAAATGAAATGAAATTGGCACTTTATAAAGTCATGCATATACTGTATACATCAATATTGTGATCATGGTCAAAATGATGAATAGATTAACAGTATCTTTTCACTAATTTTTTATGATGTTTGATCTACTAAAAGATTTTTTGTCTTTTTAGGTTTACTAAAGTGTACGACATTAGAACATAATTTAGCAACATGGACAATCAAAAATTTATTGATTCAACTTACGGCTCTTTCAGTGGGTAAGTAAATAAAGTTAGTTGTAAAACCCAATTTGTGTAACTGAGGACTGTTTCCGTGTTGGAACTTTTTGGTGGAGGAAGAGTTCAGGGCTAGAAATTTAGAAAATATTACAAAACATTACTGTTTGACGAACAACATATAAGAATACAATTCTAACATGTCTAATATATCTAGAACCTAAAATTTTATGTGACATAGAAATAAAAAGTCGTTTTATACATATCATAGACTCTGGCTTGAATTGATTTAATAACAGAGTTATTTGAAGTTTCATACAATGACAACCACCTTTTAAAGACGAGGAAATTATTACTCAGTGAAATACAGCATTATAGAACAATGTATAGTTAGTGCATGCAGATGAGATAAAAAATGTTATAAGGGAAGACAATAATTTTATAATTTTGCAAGGATTATTTCCCTTTGCACAGTATCAAATGAAATTTCCAGATCTTATATATATGATCGAATAAAGGGAGATCTGGGGTAACTGTCAACCCATTAACACTGTTGAGATATTGTTATTAAATTATGCTTAAAATTCTGATTTTCAGTTTACAAAATTATATTTTCTTCCCAAATATGCATGAAATATTTGCCACTGGACCGTGAGTTATCAAAAACCAATCTGCTCTTGCATATGAAAAAGAAAAAAAATTGCTAAGACCACACAAATGTCTACATCTTTTTCTTGTGTGTCATTATATTTATGCCCCTGCCCCTAGGCAAAGGGGGCATTCAGTGTTACCCTTGACCGTACGTCCTTCTGTCCATCCCATTTTCATTGCAAAGCTTGATTGGGGGCATTCGTGTCCTCAGACACATTCTTCTTTTGTTTGGGTAAAGATTCCCCTAAACACAATCAAAATCCTTATGTCACTGGCATGGTAGCTATATTACATGTATCGTCCTTTCTGAGGCAACCATTCTTGATATTCTATATATCAAGCCTATGTTATGCAATTTATTAATAATGTTCAATCAGATATGCATGTTCAACTATTTTCTGTTACTTGTGGTCATTGCTACATGAGAAAGTACATCAAAATATTTGTTAAATTTATACATTTTTTGATGAGAATAAATGGATATCATAAATAGACTAGTTTTCCTCAATGAACTAAAATTGATGAATGATTATTTCTTTTTCTTTTTATCTTTTAAATCTGCAACAGTGCTAAATATTTTAAAGATGGTAATACTAGCTAGACTAGTGAAAAAATAGCATTGTGTGACTATGAATGTCAAGTCAACACATATACATTGTACTGAGATAGAAATATGTTTCTGTCCATTGGCCAATGATTCAAGAAACATATATCATATTAATTATCACCTTCTTGGAAGAAAAAAGAGTCAATGTGCCTTGATGACATGTATGTGATGATGTATAAAGTGTGACGACAGTAATTTATCTATCATCATGATCATAAGTTTGTTCAAAGTGTGAAATCCATCTCAAGTATTAAGGAGCAGAAAAATACAGAAACAAATTGGAGAAAAACTACCAAACATCATATATGTGTGTGTTTGTGTTATTTAAAAATGTGTTGTATTAATTAATATTGATACATCTGGATCTTTGCATTCGTCATCATGAAAAGGAAACATACAATAAGGATTGTTTATGGTACATGTTCATTGAATGTAGGAAATTTTGTACTTTTTTTTATACAAGCTAAATAAGGTTTGGGGTAAAGATATTTTTTGATTGATGTAATTTGAGCAAGAGTTATTTCCCTTTTATCACCATATTGGAGGTCTAAATGCACTAATTCAACTTGTTATACTGACCACTTGACCGTAGAAAAAGTTGTTTCTGAATAATTTGAATTTCTTAAAGCCTTGTTTGAATCAGCTCTACAGACACATGAATACACCTTATCGCTATTCCCGCTTGACCCGAGAATCTGTCCCGCTCGAACTTTTGACGTCACACAACAATCACTTTTCCATTGTGGCATCAGATATTTTCTATTATGGCGTCAAAATTTTACGAGAATTTGTGTGATGTCCAGTAATGGCGGACAAATAGCGATAAGGTGTATATTGTAAGGACTTGTTTGTGCCACTTGGTTTAACTTGGTTGGTCAAGTAAAAAATCAACCATTTACATTTCAAAAATGGTGGCCAATGGAAATAATATCTCCTTATTTGTATACAACAACCACAAATAAGGAGATGTTATTTCCCTTGGCCGCTATTTTGGAGTCACTACTGTACATGCTGTATGCACGTATATCAGCATAGGCACATCTCATCTACATGGAGATTATTTGGATATTTATGATAAGTCAGTGATACTTGGTATGTAGTTGTACAAGCATTGGTTAATCTCATTTCCATGGAGATTATATGTGGCCCTGCCCCCTTAGTCATGGTCTATTGACTTTGAAACTTCAGCATAGTATACATGTTAAAGTTTGTGATTTGGTCAGTTTAAGGGGAACTGACTTATCATGCTTATTATAAGTCAATGATATTTGGTATGCAGTTGTATTAGCATTGGAATATCTTATTACCATGGAAACTATTTGGCCCTGTACTTTCTGTCATTGTTCTTTTACTTCCAATATTCTGCATATTTTCCATTTCAAAGTTCTGCTATTTTAATTTCAACATATATATGCATTCTTCTATCCCTATTACATACAGGTGAGACATATCTCTGTGTCAACAGTTTATTTATACTGATCCGTTGGTCTTTGGGGGATAGGTTTCTCATGGACAGTTATAGCACCTATCCTTATTTGTTTATAATAAACCATCAAATAAATGTAAATAAACAATATTTGTTTTATTGAAAAAAATGTGTTGATCTTTTTTACTTGGGGGGGGGTTCCAATACTGTTGACCTGATAATATGTTTGTTTTTTTTAAAGGATTGACTTTGCTATTGTCTGAATCCATTTTTAGGGCATTTATATATTCTTGCAGTAGCCTGGGTACCTGCATCAATAGTAAGCTATCATACCAGCATGACAAGTTTGATTAACTTTATTTAAATCCTTGTGTAAGTTAATATCTGAATGAATTAGGGCTTTTTTCACTGTTATTTCATTCTTATTTACAGCTTTTCTATAAAAGCATGCAAAGCAAACCTTTGATCGACTTGCTTGCTATGTTTGCTTGGATGTTTTTAAACAAAAGGGTAGGCAGAGTTTCAGTCTGTTTAATATATACTGGTATTTGATTGGACAATAAAAATTAACATACAATGTGAAACTTAACATTTAAATGAAGTTTAACATTTGTTTAATGTTTATTGTCCAATCAATTCCAGTATATAGTAAACAGACTGAAATAGACTACCTACCTATTGTTTACAAAAATCCAAACAAACATAGCAAGCAAGTTGATCAAAGGTTTGCTTTGCATGCTTTTATAGAAAAGCTTTAAAGATAAAATATTTTTTGTTTTTGATTAATGTTCGATTGAAAGATTCATTCAGCATGTTCAGTCGTTTTTATAAATGGATTGAATTAGGAAAGCAGTGGTCCGGCTTACATCCTTATCACTGCCTAATGTTATGATCAATATAAATTCACAAATTTATTATGGTTTCAATACCAGCAAATAAATGCAAAATACTGGTAAATGTAAATCTTTGACAAGAAAAAGAAGTTTCAATATCAAATGTTTTGAAACTTGGACAGACGTTTCTTCATGATAAAATATTTATAAGATTCTATTTCTTCATATTTTACTGAAAATTGGATTTTTTTGCACTTACATTTAGCATGTTTAGAAGCAGTCTGGGGTTAATTTTTTTTAGACATCAATAAATTTATCTTACCTTTAAATTTTATAAAACTTGACTGAACCAGGAGATAGCTCCCTGAGCAAAATTGTTAATTATTTTATTCTTTTTTAGATACTGCATGGTCTTAAATTTTGGAAGTCAACATTACACATTTACATTTACACTGACAACACAAGTTCAAGGCCAAACACTATAGAACCCTTTACAAATTTATTTCGATATAGAAACTGACTTTTCATCGCATCCACACTTTTATTTAATTATCTTTTGACATATTTGATAGATGTATGCAGACTACAAACATTTGCAAGATTTACCCTTCACGAAGGTTTAAATAAGATTATTTGTGTGATTTCAGATTTATAAGCAGTAACAGTAGTTCATACAGTATGTCTCTCAGTGATAGTGAGTTTCCAGAGGAGCCACCCTCAACCAGTGGATGTAGGTATGTAATATTTAAGTATCTTCAGGAGCCTCCCTCATCCAGTGGATGTAGATATGTAATATGTAAGCATGGTCATGATGGTAAGTGAGTATTTTTATGAGCCTCCCTCAACATGCTCAACCAGTGGATATAGGTTTGTACCAGTAGTGGGTTTCAAGATTAGCCAACAAAGCTCCTACAGATATATATGTAAGGATAGTGAATAACCAGAAAAAATCTTGAGTTTTTGTTAAAATAAATTTTCTGATGTTGAAAAATATGAAAATCAACACTTTATGAACACATACATGACATACATGACATAGTGCCTTGTTGCATCATAATCATTATTAATTTTTTTCTCTACCTCAAACAAAAATGTGCAAGTGGGTCCCTTGTTTACATGTAGGTTCTTTTATTTTTAGCTCACCTGGCCCAAAGGACCAAGTGAGCTTTTCTCATCACTTGGCGTCCGTCGTCGTCAGATAACTTTTACAAAAATCTTCTCCTCTGAAACTACTGGGCCAAATTCAACCAAACTTGGCCACTAGGGTATTTAGTTTAAAAAATGTGTCCAATGACCCCGCCTGCCATCCAAGATGGCTGACATGGCTAAAAATAGAACATAGGGGTAAAATGCAGTTTTTGGCTTATATCTCTGAAACTAAAGCATTTAGAGCAAATCTGACGGGGTAAAAATGTTCTTTTTATGTCTACAATAGTTTGTTTTTTCTTTTTTTGAGCAGTAGTGATTTTGCCCATAGTACCACTCAGAAGGATAAGAGAAAAGAAAGACTGAAGCAGTATCTGAGACAATTGAAACAGATAGTTAATCCTGCAGCACAAAGTGGTGCCCATGTGTCAACTTTAGGGGCATTAAGACATGTCATCAACTCCATACAAAAGAATAAGGAAGGTAAGTTGTATCTCTTTTTAGAGATCAACTGACTGTGTATGGTCAAAAGTATCTCTAGTCTTGGACTACATATTTGCTTGTGTCAGTTGATAATATGTTGTAGTAAAGAAAATATACCCATAGGCATGATTTATGGTTCCAATTAGTTTTAGTTTTGACTTTTTGAACTCTTACTTTTTACTCTTTTCTGTATGCAAGTATGCATATTGAAGAAATTTACCTAAGGCCAAAATAAAAAAAAAACTTATGTTTATGGTTTCCATACTTTCGCTTTTTTTTATGTCTCAAAAGTTTATAAATATTGACATTTTTGGTAGGGAATCATGACAAAATTGCAGGTGGTTTCCATTCACTTCAGGTAAAAAAAAATTGATTTAAAAAATAACTATCATTGACTATCTACCCTATTTATGTTAAGGCAAAATCTCTAAACACTTATATTTTTTTATTTTCAGATGACAAGAATGTATCATCAGAGAGGTGTATCAGTATTTGTAGTACATCAGAAAGTGAAGTGGAAATGAATATCTTGTCACTCAAGGCTGTGGTAGGCTACTTTATTTTTCACTCTAAACGATACACATTTTGGATATAAGCATTCACTTAGTTACAGAATAGCAAATGTGCTATTATTTCATTGTTTGTCGCTACTATTTTGAGTATGGTATTTGTCGGCTTTTCCCTTACTTGCATATTTTTGCTAGGTTAGTGCCAGGAAGTCACATGATAGACATGATAGATAATGGTTTTACTTTTCATAATCCAACGTCTAAGGTTTAGCAGTACAAGTAATGAAACCAATTCATTTATAATATCTCAAGGAAGTGTCATGGGGCGATAATTTTTAACAAGGATTTATTTGTCGAAAACTGACCAGCTAATTGAATATTGGCTTTAAACAATTTTCTTTTTTGAGTCTTATTCTGATTGTGTTAAAAATCCAATGTTAAAAGAATGTTTTTATTTTATAGGATGACTTACAGATTCTAGTTAGTACAAAAGGCATGAAGATAGTACAGGTCTCACCAAGTCTGAAGAAGATTCTAGGTTACCCTGTGGTAAGTGTTATAAGATAGTACAGGTTACCCAAGTCTGAAGAAGATTCTAGGTTACCCTGTGGTAAGTGTTATAAGATAGTACAGGTCTCACCAAGTCTGAAGAAGATTCTAGGTTACCCCGTGGTAAGTGTTATAAGACAGTACAGGTCTCACCAAGTCTGAAGAAGATTCTAGGCTACCCTGTGGTAAGTGTTATAAGATAGTACAGGTCTAGGTTACCCTGTGGTAAGTGTTATAAGATAGTACAGGTCTAGGTTACCCTGTGGTTAGTGTTATAAGATAGTACAGGTCTCCCCAAGTCTGAAGAAGATTCTAGGTTACCCTGTGGTTAGTGTTATAAGATAGTACAGGTCTCACCAAGTCTGGAGAAGATTCTAGGCTACCCTGTGGTAAGTGTTATAAGATAGTACAGGTCTAGGTTACCCTGTGGTAAGTGTTATAAGATAGTACAGGTCTAGGTTACCCTGTGGTAAGTGTTATAAGATAGTTCAGGTCTAGGTTACCCTGTGGTTAGTGTTATAAGATAGTACAGGTCTCACCAAGTCTGAAGAAGATTCTAGGTTACCCTGTGGTTAGTGTTATAAGATAGTACAGGTCTAACCAAGTCTGAAGAAGATTCTAGGTTACCCTGTGGTAAGTGTTATAAGATAGTACAGGTCTCACCAAGTCTGAAGAAGATTCTAGGTTACCCCGTGGTAAGTGTTATAAGATAGTACAGGTCTCACCAAGTCTGAAGAAGATTCTAGGTTACCCTGTGGTAAGTGTTATAAGATAGTAATGATATCACTAAAGTGAAATTGACTTTTAGTTATAGCTATTTTTTTCATTTAGCTCCTCAAGTATTCATCTATTTAAACATCTTCGGATTTCAAATAATGGTTTAAGATTTTTTCTTTGTGAATGTAAATCCAGAAAATTGTATTAGACGTACCATATTTATGAAGTGTTATTTTAATTTACAGGACAGTTGGATCGGGCGAGAGTTGACCAGTTTTTTACACAGAAAAGATGTGGTCACTGTAAACAGCAGTTATGTCCTAGACGATCCTGACAAATTTGATACAAATTTTTCAATTAAATGTAAGTATATTGTTATCTAAAGGAGAATGTTAGATTTGGGATCAAATTAGCTCTAAAATCATACATATTTCAAACTATCTGATTTTCAGAATCAAATGTTGAATTATGTTTTTTGATAAAATATTGCTTTTTTGATTAAATATACCTTTTTTCATGGGTTAAACAGCCATGAAATGACAGTTAATTCTATTGTATGCAGAAATTACACAAAATGATGACAATTTGACTTGTGCATGCTTGAAAATGATATAGAGCACAACCGTAGCCCTAAAAAGATATTTAAAGAGGATTTTTTTTTTTATCTTTTCACTTGCAAAAAAATTATATTGACAACTCTCATCATATATATAATTCAATCAAAATGTTCTACAAGTAGCCTATTTTAACTGAAAATAGAGAAAATCTTGCTAATGACTTCCAAAAACTGAGCAGATGTTGTTAACTAATTTACAGATAAAACAAGGCATGTGTTATCTAAATTTCAGACAAGTGAGGCAGACTGAATACCTCATAGGTTGGGGTGTTCTAGGGCTCAAAGTCTATTAAAAATTTGAATTAGAAACTGGAGGTGAGGCCATTATAAGGCTCTGACATTGAATGATTTTATTTGAATTTTGTGATTCATATGTATCAAAACTCACTATCCTATTTCAAAATTCTGTTCAGACAAGTATCTCATCACTTTTTTTTTACAGATTTTTTTTAATAGATCTAATAGTAGGTTTAGACCATTTAAAGGATCTTTACTTGTGATTTGTTTACCTGCTCTGTCATTGTCAGGTCATCAGGCAAGCAGTCATTTTTAAAGGGGGGCTTGGGGGTTGAGTGGTCTTAATAGTTCATCTACTGAAGCACTTAGCACTGAGGATGCGAGTTTGAACCCTGCATGTGGCAGGTGCGTTTGAACCCTGCACGTGGCTTGTGCGTTTGACTCCTGGCCACCACAATATAACCATGAGTGCTGAAAGGGGCATTAAAAACCAACAATCAATCGACAATCAGTAATTTTCAAACTTGATTATGGTTAGCAGATCTAGAAACTGCTATGTAAGTAATTGTATAAGTTTCAGACTTTCAAACAGCTTATGAGAGACTTATAAATGATCAGCATAGGCTGTCATGGTTGAATTTTCTTCCTCACATGTTTATAAATGTGAATTGACTGGTATTGATGGTCATATAATTAACAGATGTTAAATGTCAAGATCATACAAGGTGTTGTCAGGCATTGGTGGTCATATAATTAACAGTTGTTAAATGTCAAGATCATACAAGGTGTCATCAATAACTGCTTATTAATTTGGCAGATTTTGTTGTCAATAATCATTGATAATAGGATTTTAAGAATGAACAATAAAAGTCATGTTTCTAAAATTGGTTACTGCTTATTAAAGGACTTGCTAGTAATAAAAAAGAGAAGTTCTCTAATTTTTGTGCTATTTTCACATTTTTTAATCGATGTGAGAAAAATATTACTGCTCACTAGTGACATATCTGTTCTTGGTAAATGTTTGGTCGAAATTTGATTATGTTGTCAGATTTTCTTTGTTTCTTCTGAATTTTCCTATTGTAACCTCATGAAAAAAGGCGACTATGCCTGATGATGTTGCATATAAAAAACACAACTTTCTGCAAATCTTTGAAAGAGGGATAAAAATCATAAGAGAAACACATTCCACCACTATACCACGTGTATTACGATATTTCTCCACTCTCAACAGTTAAATTTTAATTATTTAAAAAGCTCGGCAGGCCTCGCGCTTTAAATATTAATATTTAACTGTCTTGAGTGGAGAAATAGCTGTGTCACTTTACTTTTTAAGGGTCATTAAAGGGAATTCGTTTTAATGGCAGACTCTTAATTGTATGTTAAATTTCTCTTAACTTTTCAAAACTTTTAGAGATTGATATTGAATAAACATTGTTTTTTTTGTCCCCTTACATTTTTTACCTCATTGATTTAAACCCCCACATCCATGACATCTTAGCCATGAGCCATATTCTTGTAGAAAAAAGAAATGTTTCTTGACTTAAATAATTGCCTTACAAATATTGGGGAATAAACCCATTCTTGCCACTATAAGATAAACATGTCCCAAGTCAGGTGCCTGTAATTCAGTGGTTGTCGTTTGTTGCTGTATATTTTATTTGTTTTTCGTTCATGGTTTTGTTCATAAATCAGGCCGCTAGTTTTCTTGTTTAAATTGTTTTACATTTGTCTTTTTCTGGGCCTTTTATAGCTGACTATGCAGTATGGGTTTTGCTCATTGTTAAAAGCCGTATGGTGACCTTTAGTTGCAAACTTTTATTTCATTTGGTCTCTGGTGGAGAGTTGTCTCATTGGCAATCATACCACATCTTCTTATTTTTATACGCCCGTTTACGGGACGTATTATGGTATACCGTTGACCGTCTGTCCGTCCGTCGTCAACATGTCGGACATTAACTCAAAAAAGCTTTAACCAATATGCATGAAACTTTGGTGAATTGTTTATATCTATTGAAGTGAACTTCCTTTCGTTTTTTATAAATTTCAGAGTTTTGGGGTTTTATTCATTAAAAAAGGGGGGATTTTCCAGTTTTCCGACAATAGTTCAAGAATGCTTTCACCAACTTGCAAGAAATTTTGGTGAATTGTTTATATCTATTGACATTGACATGAGCTCCCTTTTGGATTTTTATAAATTTTAGTTTTACCGTTTCCGAGTTACAGGGTTTTATTCATAAAAAAGGGTGATTTTCCAGTTTTCGGACAATAACTAAAAAATGCTTTCAGCAGTTCTCATTAAACTTTGGTGAATTGTTTATATCTGTTGATGTAAGCTCCCTTTAGAATTTTATAAATTTTAGATTTTACATTTCTGAGTTATGGGGTTTTATTCATTAAAAAAGGGGGGATTCTCCAGCTTTTGGACAATCTCTCAAAATTGCTTTCAGCAGTTCTCATGAAACTTTGGTGAATTATTTATAGCTATTGATGTAATCTCCCTATTGATTCTCATAAATTTCAAATATGACATTGAGAAGAAATTGAACTTTATTTGTTTATAGTCTGACAACAGATTTACTAAGTATTGCGCAACAGTGCAGTGTATTACACAACAGCAAGAAATCTTTAATTGAATATAAATTCAATTTATATAACCAATTTCAAGTTCTTTGACTACATTTTTTCAGAAACCTATAATATGTCAAATATTTAATTACAATCCAAATTCAGACCTGTATCAAGCTTGAATATTGTGTCCATTTTTGCCCCAACTGTTCAGGGTTGGACCTCTGCAGGCGTATCTAGCTGCGCTCAGCGAAGCAGTTTATTATATTAGGATAACAATTAAATTGAGATGTGATCATAATGCATTTAAGAATGATTAAAAGCTTACTTTCATAAAGATTGAACAACTGGCTCAACAAGGCCATTTGATTGAGATAGAGATTGACTGATTAACATTTCAAGGTTATTTTATTACGGCTTGTTTTATTTTTTTTTAGTTGATGAAGATGGCAATGCCACTTCAGAAGCACCAAAGAAGGTTTTATACTGTAGATTAAGGTAAGAAATCTTTTCATCAAAATCTGAAGCACCAAAGAAGGTTATCTACGTTGTATATACTATAGGTTAAGTCAATTGTCTTATATTCAATTGATGGGCAATTGAATTAGTATATGTAAATTTTATTTAAGACACAACTAAGCTATGAAGTGTGGTTTTGACTCGAGCTATATAGTTGTATTTTGATAAAGAACTAAGATGAGGGCACATGTTTTATTTAAGACCGTTTTAAGCTGTAGTTTCATTGTACATGCTGTAAGCCAACTACATGAACTTGTGTGAGTGATTTGATTTATCAACTTAGGTGAGAAGAAAAATTGTGAATATTTCAAACTGGATCTTTACTTCCTATGAATACAAGAAATTATATGAAAAAAAGGAAAATAAATAATTGTGAATAGGGTAGGAATGGTTAGTCAGGAAAAAAAGTATCTGGAAAATTAGTTGGTTTGCAGTATAGCCCTGAAGTATAATTTTGACCCAGAGAAACTTGAATGTTTTATTAACTGAGGTAACTATAAAATGTGCAAAGCTCAGAAGTTGGTTTTTACTCAAATTTGAAGGGACGCCAGTTTTCTTTTTATGATTGAATGCATAACATGCATAACAAAAAGCTATTTTGAATTTATTTCAGGCACTACAAATCACTGAAAAGTGGTTTCAACCTTGAAAAGAAAGATCAGTATACATCATTTCAAGCATCAGCTTCTACGAAGAAATTTAATTCAGACAAAGTCAAACCCAAGCAGTTCTTATTATTGGAGTGTCAACCTTTGAACTCTGCATATAATAAAAGTAAGATTGAAATTTTCATTACTGTGAGTGAGAAATTAAGGAAAGTTTTTATATATTCTGAGTAAAATGTTGTAAAAACTTGAAATATTGAGAATATCATTATCTGATTTTACTAATACATACTTTCTGAAACTATGACACTTGAACATGCTTTTTTCTTCTTTCTTTTTTTTAAAGACAATAACTTTCAACTCCAAAGAAGGGGTATTATATTTTCTGGTCTATGCATCTGTCTGTTTGGTTAACCATTCATCACTTTATACTTGTGTCTATCCCGTATAAGGTTAAAGTTTTGCTATAAGTATTGTTAAAGTTTTTGATCTGCTATAAGCTCTATTTTGGAACAGCCATTACCTTGATTACATATGAATAGTAGGTTTATTCTGGCTATTCCTACATTTTGAATTTTATAGGTAAAATAGTAAAATTTTATGTTGGAGTTCCCAGAATTTGTATGTAAACAAAGGGATTATGAAGGATTATGTTGTAACAATACTTAACTAATGAACTAAGGTACATCCAGGTAAATATTGTGGAAAATAAAGAAAAAGTAGTTTCTATTACAATATTTTATCTAATAATTATTTATAGGCACAATGTTATTAACAAGCAATTGAAATAATTTCGGTGAAATTTCAAAACATTAATAAACACAAGTAAATGAAATCAATTGAAATATGAATATATTAAAAATGTAGTAATTTTTGTTTGAAACTAGTAAGCACTAAATTTTGAAATACACTACATATTCATTGAAACAAAGCACCAAAAAGTACACTAAATTGTCATTAAAACAAACCAAATAACACAGAAATTAACAACTATAGGTCATCGTACGACCTTCAACAATGAGCAAGCAAACAACAACAAAAAACACATTTTTTTTACATAAATTTCATATAAATAATTATTTTTATTTAATATCCACAGGTAAAGTTACATGTGACCTAATTAGACTCTAATGACTAAAACAACATATTTTGAAATAACAACATCTATTGTTCATCCCATAATCTCCCATGTAGGAATAGCCAGAAGACACCGAATAGTACTGTACTGTAACATAAATACATTTTTTAGTGTATTATTTTGATATAATTTTACAGATTGGTCAGAAATGTCTACAGAGAAGAAAACTTTTGGTACAAGACATAGTCTCTTCTGTTCTTACACATATATACACCCAAAGTATGTATAATTATGTTCGCACACCTAGGAAGCTATACACACATGACACTGTTAAGAAATAAGATTCAAATAGACCCCTATAATTTTAAACCATCCCTTTTTCCTGGCTTTCTAACAAGTTTAGCTAACTATTTGTGTCATACATGTTTGTAATCGATTGCTTCGAATGATTGATTTTCTTATTAGTTTGAATTGTGAAACATAATTGCAAAATAAAAAAAAAACATTAAGATAATTTCTGGATGTATTTCAGAAATGGATATAAACGTATTGACTGTCAAACTGAAAAGGATTAATGTTCATATAAACCAATTTTGAAGGCTATATTATTCTTTAGCTATCAAAAATAAAGGTAGAATTGAAACAGCACCAAGAAACGTACTGATCAAATGTTTGATGTATATATTTTTAGTCAGTATTTATCCTAACTATTTAAATATTTAAAATTGATCATTGTCAGCATATATTGATTCAAAAGAGGGCTGACAACACAAGGTGGTGTTCTCAAAGTGGAAATAAAAATATGAACTATTAGATTTATTCTGTCAAACTTAGAAAAACCTATTTTGGTAATTTAGAAAAGAAATTTCCCTAAAAGCTAACATAAATCATGTTGTTTTATCAGTTGGTGATTATTGTTACATTAATTTTGATTGGTGTATTTCAGTGCCATACCATTATTACATTAATTTTGATTGGTGTATTTCAGTGCCATACCATTATTACATTAATTTTGATTGGTGTATTTCAGTGCCATACCATTATTGGGATATTTACCACAGGACATGGTTGGAATGTCCATATTTGACTTCTATCATCCTGAAGAATTTGAACAGCTTTATAATATTTATAGACAAGGTTAGTGTAAATATGACCCATCTTATGGCTACCGATTTGATCCCTGTTCACTGCATATGGAAATATAGTGAGAGTGTGGCATGATTTTCTCTGGACACAGATTCTTATTAAAAATTGTAGCATGGTGTCCTCTGGACACAGATTCTTAATAAAAAATATGGCATGATGTCCTCCGGACATGAATTCTTATTAATAAATGTATTGAATGCAAACAAATTTTTACTGGATCTGTATTAAAGAAATATTATGGTTTTAAAAGTAATTTCAGTTTAAAATAAAATTGAGAATGGAAATGGGGAATATGTCAAAGAGACAACAACCCAGCCAAAGAGTAGATAACAGCCGAAGGCCACCAATGGGTCTTCAACGCAGCGAGAAAATCCCGCACCCGGAGGTGGTCCTCAGCTGGCCCTTAAATAAAAATGTGTACTAGTTCAGTGAAAATGGACGTCATACTAAACTTCAAAACATATAAATGAACTGAAATTAAGAGTATGTTTTTGTTTTCTTTATTGTAGTAGTTACTTCAAAGGGCACAACCATCAGTAGTCCAAAGATTAGATTTAGAACCCAAAATGGGGACTGGATTTATGTAAAGACAGAATGGTCCAGTTTTATAAACCCGTGGTCCAAAAGATTGGAATTTATCATCGGTCAGCATACTGTCATCAAGTAAGTTTGAACATATTTTGTAATTGATGGTCCTTTTTGTGGAACCAATTACATTAACTTTGACCTTTTACTAAACTTGAAGTAGTACATGAGAGATCTCTTTTCATATTAATTGTAAAGGCTGGGTTAAATTTGAAACTCCTCTTTTGTTCTTAATTGAACCAACTTATTTTTACTTTCACAAATCAGCAGTTTTTACGAGGTTTGTGTATGTAGCTATGGTTCAAAGTAAACACGGTCAGGAAGCTAATTCTTCTTGGGAGATGTGTATTCTGTAAACTTGTTGATAAAATTTCAGTGAATTTTTGCGATGTTTACGAACACTTTTTTATGCAATTTTGCGTAAAAAATTGAGGGAATATGGTATGATTGCCATGGAGACACTTACCACCAAAGATCATAGGCTTTGATTAAACTTACATTCACATGAAACTGTATCGAAAACTGGTTGTATGATACTGTTAAATTAAGATTAACTGACCAGTTCAGACAGACATGGTACGCTACTCTACAGAATTCTCCAAAAGCTCTAAATTATAAATTGTTCAAAATTAGTATAAATTTCGAAACCTACTTTGATATTTTAGATAACAAAAATATTGCTCCTTTTTGTAGATTTAGAACTTTGAACACAAAAATTCCTATCACAATTGGTAGATGGCAAAATATTTTGAGAGAAAATCGTATTTGTACTTGGTGTAATTCCGGTGATATTGGCGACGAGTTCTATTATATTTTAGAATGTTCGGTAATAGACGAAAGTAGACAAATGCTACTAAAGCATCATCTTGTAAACAGACCAAATATTTGAAAATTTCAAGGTCTAATGAATAGCAACAACCCGTCTGAATTAAACAAGCTGTGCAAGTTTATAAGAATAATTATTAAATGCCTAGAATCTCCTGGGTAACTCCTTTATGTCTCTACTTTACATTTGTATTCAAAATTTGTACTGCATATGTTAATTTATTTGTATATATGTCTCTATACCATTGTACTTTGGTTTATGAGAATAAAGATATATATATAAACGTCACAACTATAAGTGACAATATGGGAATGAACCAATAGGGCGAAAGATCCAATTAACAACTTTAGCAAGTGTTATGACAAGTAGGTGACAGACATCAATGCCCATTTGTTTTCCCTGTTCAAAACATCGTTATTGTTTTAGTACTGATATTTTACTTTATCTATTTCTTTACACATGTGGCCATAATAATCATAAAGATGAAATTATCAATGCTTTATAACAGGGGACCACAAAACATAGATGTCTTTTCACCACCACCTCGTCAGGAATGTATTGCTGAGGAACCAGAACAGTATCACAAAAATCTCAGATTAATCAGAAAATTGTTATTACAGGTAAGTAACTCTTAAAAAAACAATATCACAAAAATCTCTTGATTAATCAGAAAGTTGTTACTGCAGGTAAGTAAGTCTTAAAAAACAATATCACAAAAATCTCTGATTAATCATAAAATTGTTATTACTGGTAAGTAACTCTTAAAATAACAATATCACAAAATCTTTGATTAATCAGAAAGTTGTAACTACAGGTGAGTAATTCTTAACAAAAAAAGTATCAAAAAATTCCCTTAATCAGAAAACTGTTACTACAGTTGAGTAATTTTTAAGGGCTTTCAATTTTAAACATACTAGACACTTTGAAAATGAGTTAACCACCCATTGAAGTATTTTTAGAAACCTGCATACATTTTAAACATGTACAAAATAATATATCCAACCATCTCATAGTGATAAATTTATGTTACCTTTCCTGGGTCCTAGGTTTGTTTTTTATAGAACCACCTTAACAATAACAATATCACAAAAATATCCAATCAATAAAAAAAATAGGGTCAAACTTGTTAATGTCCCGTCAAATATTATGAGGTTGATGATAAGTCTTGGGTCAAAGTTGTTGTGAACATGTATGTCTGACTTGGGTCAAATGGCCATTACATAATGTTTTTAGTTTATTGATCAATGTTTATTTTTCATGATTTTCATAAGTAATGAAGTAACGCTGTTTGTTTTTGTATATAGAAATAAATTTTTATTTTCAGCCAGTGGTAGATGAAGCTAAATCTGTGGCCCTAAACATTGTAGAAGAATCTACTGAAGAAGTTTCTGTTAGTCCAACTCCTGGTAAGATTAATTACAAACAAACACTTCACAATAAACAATACATGACAATGGTACATATGGGGTATCTTTCCAGTCTGTCAGTCTAAGTCCTGGTAAGAGCTATTACAAACAAACACTTCACAATAAACAATACATGACAATGGTACATATGGGGTATCTTTCCAGTCTGTCAGTCTAAGTCCTGGTAAGAGCTATTACAAACAAACACTTCACAATAAACAATACTTGACAATGGTACATATGGGGTATCTTTCCAGTCTGTCAGTCCAACTTCTGGTAGGAGCTATTACAAAAAAAACACTTCCCAAAAAACAATACATTACAATGGTACATATAGGGTATCTTTCCAGTCTGTCAGTCCAAGTCCTCTGGTAAGATCTATTACAAACAAACATTTCACAAAAAAAACAGCACTTGACAATGGTACATATGGGGGATCTTTCCAGTCTGTCAGTCCAAGTCCTGGTAAGCGCTATTACTAACACTTCACAAAAAAACACTACATGAAGAGGGTACATATGGGGACCTTTCCAATCTGTTAGTCTTGCTTCTGGTAAGGACATTTACATACAAGCTGTTTACAAAAAACATGTCACAGGGGTACATATGGGGAAACATTTTAAGCAATAATAAACTAACTCTTTACAAAAAACAATACATCTGTTTTCTCATTGTTGAAAGCTGTATGGTGGCTAATAATTGCTTTCTATCACTTCATTTTAACTTTGGTGAATAGTTGTATAATTGGCAATCATATCACATCTCCTCATTTTTATATCACATGGGTACATATGGGGCAACATTCCAAGCATTTACAAACTAACCTGTTACAAAAAACAATACAAGATGGGTATGTATGGGGCAACATTCCAAGCATTTACAAACTAACCCTTTACAAAAAACAATACAAGATGGGTATGTATGGGGCAACTTTCCAAGCATTTACAAACTAACCTTTTACAAAAAACAATACTAGGCGGGTATACATATGGGGAAACATTCCAAATTTCAATTTGACCTTTTAGTATGAAACTGAAACAGAATTGTTTTGTTTTATGAATTTAAGAAGTATTTTTTAAGCCATTGACATGCAATGAAAATCTAGGTTTTTTAACCATTTAGACATCACACATAAGGTTATGATGAATTATCATTTTGTTAGATACAGTAGACAATTTCCAATTTTCAAGTATTAATTTTTGTAAACAAAGCTATTTCTGTCCAAGGTGAAATAGTTCACAATTTATACTGCAGTATTGCTACTAGTATTGCAATAGATATCAAAAGGGGGAGTAAGTATTTTGTATTAGTAATTCTTGCTAAATTTCTTGCAGGATTTTAATCTTATTGTCAACAACAAAATCTCTCATAATGTTATTGTGCACCTATTTTAGTCTTTATCTGAAAGATTTTTGGGTGCAAACTGCTAGTTAAGTGTCAGTTAAGTTAATTTGTGTCATTAGATTGTTTTCTAAGTGAATTCTACTTCACATTTCTCTTAATCTTATTGTTATGAAAAAGACCAAGCTTCATTCACATTAAAAAGGGGGCTGGGGGAATACATTTTGTTGAACAGCATTGATTTCTTGTATTTTTATATTCAAAATGTCAAAAAATTTATTTTTCAAATTTTTGATTTCAGATGGCGACAAGGACATGAAGGAGGAGACTTCAATCAAAACGCAAGAAGCTAAAAAGAAATTTCAGGTAATATTTGTAAAAAAAAATAGCTCATGCAGTTTTCATGATAAAAATACATTCTTTAATATAATACAACTGCAAGATTTAACTATAGCCAGTGGTACCTTTTAAACACAATAAATGAAAGCAACCAAGGGTCTGGAAAAAGTAAAATTGGTAGTTAAACTAATAAAGCTGTGATATCCTGTCGCTAAATAAATAGAAAAAAACCTGAAGATATATCCATAATCTCTCGTAATTTATGATTAACTTGAAACTTACAGATTTTATTTCTTTTTTAAAAATGAAGAGTGGCGTGGTCAGTTCTTGAGAAGTTGATTGTCAAAATAAATTAGCAGAATTTCACCTGCGTTTTATTCAGATACAGAAATAACTATTAAAGTTGATTGTTAAAATAAATTAGCAGAATTTCACCTGCTTTTTATTCAGAAACAAAAGTTACTATTAAAGTTGATTGTTAAAATAAATTAGTAGAATTTCACCTGCTTTTTATTCAGAAACACAAGTTACTATTAAAGTTGATTGTTAAAATAAATTAGCAGAATTTCACCTGCTTTTTATTCAGAAACAGAAGTTACTATTAAAGTTAATTGTTAAAATAAATTAGCAGAATTTTACCTCCTATTTTATTCAGAAACAGAAGTTACTAATAAACAGAATTTATAAGTCAATTGTCAAAAAATATGAGCAGAATGTTTCATAATATATTCAATTAGGGAGAACCCCCTAGTTATAAATGAGAACAACAATATGATTGGATATTTATTTACTTATTTTATTTGATTGCTAAACAATGACGTAACTGACTTTATGTTTACAGTCTGCCACCAGAAATGAACAGCGTAATGAGATATTGAATGACAACTTATCAGGAACTTACGAACAACTTAGCTACACAAACAACATCAAAAGGTAAGTCATAACTAACAACTTAGCTACACAAACAACATCAAAAGGTCATTCATAACTTTATGATGACTTTCATTTGATTTGACGAAAGACAAGCATAAAGAACTGTAAATGACACATGTAAAAATGTCGTAAAATATTCACAATTGCAATTGTCTCTCCTGCAACGTTTTTCAAAGAAAGTATGACACACCTATGTGTTAATTGTCTGGCCACTGCATTGTCTTTGTAAATGTTAAATGTAAAGCGACTGACATTAAAGGGCACCTGGTACAGCTGTTTATTTGTAGTTGAAATGCCATGTAGAATTGTAGTAAAAAATTCTTTTTCTATGTTTCTGAATTAAAAGTTTAAATTTCTAAACTTCAATGTTTGATAGCCTATTGTGAAAAGTTTTTAAATGGTAAAGTAAATAGTCTGAATTTGATCAATATAGTCTCATGTCAGGTGTGATTCCGTTGCATAAGGATGGGAAACTAAAAGTCACAAAAACATTGAGTAAAGAAACTGCCTTTCCAATGCTCCCATGCTTTGATTCTTGTGTCTAATGATAACTCGATTGCTTTTATGTATCCTTATCAGATTAGTACACATTGCAAATTTTATAAAGATAAGACTCCTTTTGATTTTGATGATTTTCAGATTAGTCTGAAATTAGAATGTTTTCTCAGAGAAACAGCATCACAAAGAGCCTTTATGTGTTTGGTAAATTGTGAGAATGTACTTACCCCTTGAATGCAACTACATATGTGAAATTTCCCATCCTGCATATTCAATATTGATATTAGAAGTTAACGATGTAGACCATTTTATCCAAACTTTAGAAATATTAGATTTGCTAAGTGAGTGTGTATTTTATATTTAGATTTTTGATGAGCCAACCAAAAACCTATTCATCATCATCACACAAAAGTAGTGGTAATGACAGTTACTCAGACAACAGTAATGCCATTGGTTAGTATAATATTTATAGAAATTTACAATTCATGTCTAAAAGTTTTGGGGGAATTTCATTGTTTCACACTGTTTTCAAATCGTAAGTTTTGGTGTACACTTAAAAATATTACTCGGAATGCATTAGAATTTGGAATGGGTAATTCCCAAAGAATTTTTTTGTAAGACTCATCGTATCACTTTACTTAGCGGTGATAACAGTGTTTAGATAAATTAAAGAGTCTCATTCAATAAATAAGCAACTTGAAGCACATGTTGTTTAAAAAGAAGAAACGTGTCATGAAAAACTGTGGACTAATTGATCAGAAGTCATTTCCTATACAGTTTAATTTTGACAATTTATTAATTTTTGCTTGACATGGAAAATTAAATCAAATGTAGGAAAATATGTTTTGGAATAAAAATAAAATGTTCAGTTGTTAGTACGTGAAAAGATGTTCTCATTGATATTTTGCAACTGACAAGTTTTATTGCTGTTCTTTATTCTAAAAGTCAAAATTATGGTTTTAATACCTTTACAGATTCAGATGAGGTACCTGATTTTGGAGTCGACATTTCATATCCAAAACCACCTAGTTTTTGTAGCAGCACCAAGGTATTTATTATATACTTAGAGCAATCTCAGAATAAACCTTTTGTATTAGTAAATAATGTATTGTGATGAGGATTTTAATGATTTTTATAATGCAAATACTCTAAATTCAGAAAATGATGTGTGCAAACCTCTAATGGCATTGGGTATTATATTAAAATTATTGAACTTTTTCCAGGAATAGGCCTTAAAAGCCACAACAAATTATTTCCATGGATATAACCATTTTTTTCTAGTGGCAGTCCAAATTCCTGCTGCTTTTTATCCCTCACAAAAATCAATCTACATAAAGATTCATCTTTGTTAAGGATTCATCTTTGTTAAACATAAGTTTGTGAAAATCAGTTAAAAAAAAAGAATGGATTTTAAACTTTGTACAAAAATTGATTGATGTATGGAAAATGGTTTTTGAAAGATTAAAGATGTCTTGCTTTTAGAAGTATGTTTAAAAATGGTCATTTGTAGTCAGTTCTTGACAAGGACCATTTAATATGTTCTTAACACACCTTAATTGCACAAATATCTTTTAAACAATAATTTTCTGAAATTCCCACAATTGTACAAATTACATATTCTTCCTCCTCTTTTGAATTGTTCTTTTCACAACCATAGTCAATTTTAGATCTTATTAAAGCTATGTAAATTTTTATGCCCCCGCCGTAGTGGAGGGGGCATTAAGTTTTACCCTTGTCTGTCTTTACGTAAGTACGTCTGTACGTCCCAAAATTGGTTTCCGTTCTCTAACTTGAGTTTGCCTCAACCAAATGTTATGAAACTTATACACAATGCGTATTACCACAAAATACAGATCAAGTTTGAATTTTGGTAGCGTCACTCTAACTGTTCTAGGGTTCTGCCCCTTTATAAATGGAAAAATTACAAATTTTTTATAGTTTCCTTTCTCTAACTTAAGTTTGCCTCAACCAAATGTTATGAAACTTATACACAATGCTTATTACCACAAAACACAGATCAAGTTTGAATTTTAGTGGCGTCACTTTAACCGTTGAGTTATGCCCCTTTATAAATGGAAAAAGTGCAAAATTTTTAGTTTCCGATCTTTAACTTAAGTTTGTCTCAACCAAATATTATGAAACTTATACACAATGCTTATTACCACAAAATACAGATCAAGTTTGAATTTTGGTAGCGTCACTCTAACCTTTCTAGAGTTGTGCCCCTTTATCAATGGAAAAATTACAAAATTTTTAGTTTCTGTTCTGTATCTTAAGTTTGCCCCAACCACAAATTTGGGTAGTGTCACTTTTATTGTTCTTGAGTTATGTCCCTTTATAATGTTGTATGCAAGAGGGGACATCATCTGTGTCCATGGGGACACATTCTCCATTTATTCTTAATGTGTGACTTTTTGCACCCCACTTTGTTCATACAATTTAAATACTTTTGTATCACTTATCCAATATTGATTGTATGAAATTCACACCTCAATTTCACAAATATCACTTATAAAATGATTGTCTGAAATTTACACCTTAATTGCTTAAATATCACTGATACAAATAATTTTTTCTGAAAAAAGCAAAATCCATGAACTATATGATCAAAAGATAACTTAAAAGAATAGCCAAATCCATCTAAGATCAACTAGCTTATGTTATGTAATAATCAACCAAAATCAATGCATATCATGTTAATTTTAGCTTGATAATTATGAAAAAATAGGATGAATTAAGATTCTTTTTTTAACCGTCCCACAATAATTATTGTTTAATTATCTAACAAAAGTCAAAAGCAGATAGTAGTTTTGAAATTAAGTTCAACCATATTTGTTTCTTGCAGGTACTTGTATCTGAGAAAGAAGATATGGTCCCTAGTCCATCTTGTCAAATAGAAGAAATAGTGGAAGAGACGAGTCGAGAAGCACAGATAATATTTTCAGCCATTCAGGAACCTAATGTTCTGATGTCATTGACACAAGAGACACTTCAGGAACATACAAAACGACAAGAAAAGATATATTTAGAACAGGCAAAACAAGATAGCAATCTTGTCTTACTCAACATGACCAGTAAATACAGTGTGCAACAGGAATCTTCACAAGGATTAAAACGGGGACATTCATCTGATCTTGATGAAACCCGTAGATTTAAGTCATTCAAAGCAGAGGATGTCAATTTGTTGTGTCCACCTTTTCCCATGACTACAACAGGGCCTGTAATGAAACCATCAGGTGGACAGCCCAAAATAGCCTTTCCTAACATGTATGGAATTGGTTTGACACAGAGTACAGGGGCAATGTATCACGGTGGCTCCATGCCTGGTATCCAGTTGCCACAACAACCTCCGATCACTAATGGCAACCCAGGAAACATACAGTGGCCCTACTATCCACAATCAGGTTAGTTGAAAAAAAAGGTTTACATTGGTTACAATGACGTACCATTACTCACTTACCAAATATAAAGTGCTTAATTAACAAAAGTTATATTGGTAACATAGGAGGAATTCATTTTGGCAAATACAACGAAAACTTGTTAATAGAAATTGATATCTTTTAGGGATATTTAAATTAAATAAAAAAAGATGGGATGAATATTTTCTTTTTCTTACTTTTTATTAGATATTGTAAAATGTGTTTGAATTGGTTAACTATCTCCCCCTGAATGAAATATTTTTTGCCCAAAAGTTATCTCTCTATAGTGTGTGATAAGATTTTGTGAGGGAATTCGATGTTTTCAAAAATGATTTTGCTATGTATCCGTGTATTATATGTTAATAAATAAACGCTTTACGAAGATTTATTTTCTGTATAAAGTCAATAATTTTGTTGAATTTTGAAGCCCAAACTTTCTATTTCTTTAAATACGCTAATGAGAGATTGAAAAACGATGCAATACAGACATATTCTTTTTTACACACTTGTGTGCTTCAATTGACCATCAAACTGTACACTGGACAAGTTCATGATATTTTTATGAATGAAACAAAAGGTTAGAAAGGTTTGATTTTGCAATTCTTACTTTTTTACAAAATTTTTGTAATACAGTGAATTTTTACAATAATGAATTAACGTGTTGTTTAGAAAGGATAAGGTCCAGTAAGGGCTTATTTCGGCTTTAAATTCTGAGAACATCTGATGAAAGATTTTTGACATTTTTTAAACACTCAAGTGTCTACTTCAGTCGATTCAATTAGTTTATGTTTAAGATTTTAACTGATTTGGCCATTAAAAACACTCAAATTCAAGCTTAAATACAAAAAATCTCTCAAATTTGCCATAAAACGTCAGTTTTCCGATGGTTTTTCCGTCTAAAATGGAAGTGGCTGCATTCGTGTTCAGTCTCAACATTTTATATATGTTATGTATTATCAAATACAACATATATATAAATCTTAAGACTGAACACAAGTGCGGCCACTTCCATTTTAGACAAAAACCGTCTTAAAATTAGCACAAATCAAATGCTAAGATAGTGAAGATTTCAGTATTTTTGTATGAAATAATATAATGATGCTAGTACCTGATGCATGTCCATTTTATTGCCTAAAACACCCCATATTCATGTAACAAAAGTAGTAAACTAAAAAATAGATAATTACATGCTTCTCAGGTGCCAACAGGTATGGACATGTGCTTCTCTTTTTATTTCTTTTCATGACAATTTTAACGTTTTAAGAAGATTTTACCAGTATGCCATTTTGTCTTATTCATGCTATATGTTGTGATCATTTTGTTTAATGGAATAAATCCTATGATTTCAGGTTCATCATTTTACCCACAAGTAATGGGAGGATTTTATCAGCCGATGACTGTGCTATCATACCCTATGCCTTTATGGACAGGGGGTGTGGCAACAACCAAACACAAGGTAAACATTTCACCTCATCTCACCAAAAAGCAATAATCAGCTTTTGCCATCTGTCATAAATTTTTTTTTAAATCTGTTGAGGGCTGTTCCATAAAAATATACATGGGACCCAGGGAAGGCACTTCCAAATCTCAACTATGGGTGGGTGTCATCTGTACATAGTTGAAATGTAAGTGAAATTTTAATTTGCCTCTATAGGTGGTTACCCCATTTTTAAAGTACCTTCCCTGGGTACCATGTATGTTTTAATAGAACAGCCCTGGGGAACTATTGATCCAATACAAACTAAATTACACATGACTGATCTTCAGGTTAGATTTCCTATCATCTCTTAACAGACCATCCCCATCACATACTGAGGTTTTACCTTAAGGGGTCTTAGATTTTACAGTCTTGCACTCTTTCTGGTGTAAGATTTTTAAATTTTCAAATTCTTTAATGACTACTCAGAATATAGAAATGTTTGCTTCTATTTAAACAACCACTCAGAAGGTAGTAATGTTTTCATCTCTTTCAATAAACAATCAGATGATAGAATTTTTTACCTTTCTATGAGAAACAGACTATTCCATTTATTTAGAAACTTACGAACATAAGACTTGTTTCTTGTGAACATTTCACTTCCTATAAAATAAGATCAAAATATAGTACATATAGATATAGGAAGATATGTATGAATGACTTCTTATAACTATACTTCATCATTGTAAAACCTGTTTATTTTTAGGCGATATTCACACAGGCTGGTGACAAGGGTAACACTGCAATGTCTATCTCAGACTCATCATCAGGAGAGAACACAAGTTCCTCGTTGATGTACCTACTGGAACTTAGTAACAATCAAGAGGTACGAATACATTAATATCAAGAAGAAAAATTAAGGATTGCTATCGGAAACCTTTGCCACAAATTACCCTATCACTAAAATTGTAAATAAAATCAATAGATACTGCCAAATATCTTCTATCTTTTCATTACAAAAATTGTTTACCTAACACAGTATTTAGGGTACTTAATAATTATATTCATCTTTTTGTGATCAGTTGAGATCAAGATCCAGAAATTTTCACACTTTTTCTATAATTTTTTTAGATGAATATGCTAAGTATGTTTAATATGCTGACTTATTTATTTGTTTGTTTAGATTGCAAAAGCAAAGGAATCTAAAGCTTCAGCCACAGCCACCAAAAAGAGACACTCTGACCCACCTTGGCTGTTTGGAGTCCTCTGGGTAGAAGGGGTACAAATGAGATACACGCTACCTAGACGAAAATTCAACAGAACTATGAAAGAAGACCGGGATGCTTTAAAGCTGATGAAACAATCTGACGTGGTCCTAAAACAAATGGAAGAATTAAAAGAAAATATAGAAAAAAGTTGTCAGGAACCAACAGAAGTAAGTTTAATGTTAAGAAGAAAAGAAAGTGTGCATGTCAATGTTACAGCAAGCCAACAACACAAATAACTAATAGACATCAGCTCACAACATTCAGTCTGTATTTAGTTTTGTTAGGCTTTTAATTGGTGATTAAAAGAAAAGGATATGGAGTGTACCTACATAATGCACCTATCAAATTAAAGATATGGACTGTACCTACATAATGCACCTATCAAATTAAAGATATGGACTGTACCTACATAATGCACCTATCAAATTAAAGATATGGACTGTACCTACATAATGCACCTATCAAATTAAAGATATGGAGCGTACCTACATAATGCACCTATCAAATTAAAGATATGGAGCGTACCTACATAATGCACCTATCAAATTAAAGATATGGAGCGTACCTACATAATGCACCTATCAAATTAAAGATATGGAGCGTACCTACATAATGCACCTATCAAATTAAAGATATGGAGTGTACCTACATAATGCACCTATCAAATTAAAGATATGGAGTGTACCTACATAATGCACCTATCAAATTAAAGATATGGAGTGTACCTACATAATGCACCTATCAAATTAAAGATATGGAGTGTACCCACATAATGCACCTATCAAATTAAAGATATGGAGTGTACCTACATAATGCACCTATCAAATTAAAGATATGGAGCGTACCTACATAATGCACCTATCAAATTAAACTGGGACAATAAAAAGATTTATATCATTTAGACAATCATTACTTGAAATACTGAGAAATATCCAATGATTGCACATGAGACAATTACTGTAAATTCAATATCCAATGATTGAACATGAGACAATTACTGTAAATTCAGTATCCAATGAATGAACATGAGACAATTACTGTAAATTCAATATCCAATGATTGAACATGAGGCAATTACTGTAAATTCAGTATCCAATGATCATGATGATTGCACATGAGACAACTACTGTAATTTCAGAATTTTTTGCGTGCATGTACTGCGATTGTTGAACAATAGACACAAAAATGTGAGATTAACTATTGTGTATTAGGGAAATGCTCAATACAATTATTGCTATACAAATTTAAAATGCCAGTTATATATTTGCAAAATCTGTCCGGTGGCAATTTTCACAATGATGAACACATTACAAAATATCTGCATTTTCAGTATCTCATGAAATGCATAAGTAAATAAGTCCTGATCTTCAATGTTTGTGGTGTATATTTTATAATTATTGTTATAGTCAAAATTTACATATATAGGTTGAATGCAAATTATAACATACTTAAACATAAAAAATAAAGATTTATTTCTAAATGTTAAACATGAAACAATTTTGGAAATAATGTCAAATAGAATGCTTTATCAAAGTATGAAGTATTTTTTATATATTTTTTCGGAAAGGGGGGAGGGGAGGATTTAGTTAGTATAGATATGAATGTCTACAATGTGCCTTATTTTATTTAGGATGAAGAAGCTGACTACCTGTTTATGATTGACCCTGATCTGTTTAAAGATGATAGTTCAAGTGATTCACAAGAAATTGAAGCCAGTGAGAAACTAAGGTGCTCATTGAAATCATTTTCTGAATCAAAAACCACAGACGAAACAATTACCAAAGCAGGAAATGGTGACGATAATAGTCTCTCTGAGACCCAATATTCTCTAGTTGGCGATGAGATGGATGACCAGGAAAAGAAGAGCGAGTCTGAATGTGATTCCTTGCCAAAGTCAGGTTATAATGACAGTTCTGTTGACATGGAGTCGGCAAGCTATAAGTCCAGTGATCTTACACCCAGTGATTCTAGGAGTACAGATGATAAGGGAAGTTCAATGAAAGAGTCGGATACACAATCGTTTAAGTTATCCGAGGGAAACAAGGACTCAGAATCAGAGAATGACCTGAACCAGACTCAAAATCTGGACAGTCAATTCGATCATTTATTTGTTAAAAATCCAACGAAATTTAAACATTCAAAAAAAGGCTTCTGGATTAAAGAAGCTAACATGAATGAACGGATAAAGATGGAGTATACTTTAAAAAACAATTCAAGGAAAGATGTACTTTTAGATGATTTGAACAGATTGAATGAAATGAATCAATCAGCCGTGGTTCAAAACCAATTGTCTTATCTGTTAGAAGATTTAAAAACCGAAGAACAGAAAATTACATGTAGTTTTTGTGAATCTCTGGAAGAAATGTCTTCAAATACCAAATGCTCAAATTGTGCTAAAGAACAAAATATGAAAAAAATGAATGCAAACTTTTTTGACAGTCTGTTCATGCAGCCTTTGTTCCCACAGGACACGCATGAAGCTTACTTGTCAGAGCATCCGATCAGAGACTCACCAGATATGGAGGACTTGTGTGATATAATTGATGCAGTGGACTAAACATTTTGTAAAGGTCCATGTTTTCTTGTCTGTTCATAGACCACTTTCACCATCATGCGTTTTTGAACATTTCCAATGTCCCAATGCTTATTGAATGAAGTCATTTACACCAATTTACCTGGGGGTACACTTATTCATAAAAGGAAATGGAAATTGGTCTATTGTAAATTGTTTTATGGTGTTCATAACATCACAAAGTCACTTTAAAATATATTATGGTAAAAATAGCAGTCCCAAACAGAACAGGATTGGATCACTGCTTTACTATTGTGAAAGAAATTACTTAAAACCATGCATGCAAGTGTGTAGGCAAAACATATAGCGTATTGCTTAGATAAAGAAAATGACAAAACCACACTCATTTTGTTGACAGTTTATATTGAACCATGAAAATGAGTAATCACACATGCACAGTACCAGTTTAAATTACTAGTGATTTTTTTTTATTTGTGTAGGTCTTGAAACTTTAACTTAACACTTGGTCAATTGAAGAAACACTGCACTGTAAAAAAAAAAGTTTTGAAAAAATTCAATACACTCTGAAAGATTTCAATGAGATTAGACTGAAGTATATATGCAAAAGTACAATGCAGTATGGGTCTCAATTACCCTCTAATGGAGAACTGGATTATTGTTTTATCATGTAAAATCATTGACAACAGCTCTTTTATCATAAAGTGCTGTTTGGTCTCATGACCGGCTTTCTGGCAATCAGATTGTAAAGATTGAATGTAGAATATATATATACATGTGTAATTATTTTGTATTAATGTTGTTTGATGAGTAAAGAGTAAGTATGCAGATGTGTATATGTCATGTATGAGAAAATGTATATGAATAATTGTGTACAGATGTGAGTTTGTTTTCCTACAGTTTTTAATTGCCTTAATGTCATGAATGTCAGTGAAAATGTGGCAATGAATATTTCAATAGAAATTATGGATATAGGGCACATTTGGAATTATTGAATAACAAACAAACAATAGTTAACATGGTTTTGATGCATTCTATGACACATATCAAGGCTGAAGTTAGCAGTTTACTATCAGGTTTTCAAAAGTTTTGAAGTAAAATATCCTGAATATGCATTAATCAATTGCCAATGGACTTAAGACAAACAGAACAGGGAACCTCTGTACTTTGTTTTGTACATTGACACTAATGCATAGTTGATGCATAGATAACAAATAAACAAAATTTGAGGCTTTATGAAGTGGAGATAACCATTTATGACAATCTAACGTTTAGTCGAAATTTATTAAGGCTTTCATTGATAGATTTATTTTTAGATATTCATCAGGAATCATTAACCCAATATATGTTCATTTGATAACAGTATTGAATATGTTTTAAGATATATCAATGGAGTTGTGCAATAAGTCAATTGCTATGGACTTTTGTTTAAAACGAAAACCTAGAAATAAATCATTAGTTTAAACATTTGTTTTGACATGTCTTAAAAGTGAGGACAATATTAGATTAATAAAAATAGTAAAAATGCTGACAGTATTCATCGTATCATTACTGGATAATGCATGTAGATACTGTAGTCTTTTCTACTCAGTTTTATTTTGTCTTTTTATACAAATTTCTGGATATTAATTTTCTCAATCTATAGTATAAATATGCTGTCATTTGTGTAAGAAAAACAGATTTGGCAGGTTCAGAGTTCATCTGAAATGCAGGAAGCGAAAATAGGACATTAAATCAAAATACTTTTTAACAATATTGTTCAAAATGATTTTTGTTTCAATGCGATAGGTTGCATTTATTCATGAAGTTTATTATCTGTAAGTAAATAAAATATTTATATGTTGTTACATGTATTGAAATGTTTCAAGTACTGAAAATAAATTATTTAAATTGTATTGTTCTTAAATTATAAATTTTGTGATTTCTTGGGGTTACACAAGACAATCCACCAATACACCATTGTATATGAAATCATTAAATCATTTGATTTTACTCATCAACAAATTTTGAAAATAGAAAGCCAGCTGGTGTCACTAGTGGTGCTCGAACTATTAAACCTTACTGAGAAACTGGGTATACACCAGTTTGTGTTGGGAGTTGCTCAATCTTTAGTGTATAGTGTTCCTCTGTTTTTAATCAACTGATGGGTTTTGGTTCCCGCATTTTGAAATCCTCTCCCCTTCAATTTATCAATCTGGACTACAGTTGCATCTAATTATCAATCGCAAAATACTGGTTTAGAACCCTATTGTTTGTATTTAACATAATAAACCAAACACTATGTAACAGTGGATCACCTAAGAAATCTTCTACTCAAGCCATACAAATTATGTTCAGGATGCAGATTGTTGTTTTTGAACTGAATTATCTTTTACTGAAAGTACCTTCTGACAATTTATTGATGCTGAATTATACTCCAATCTAGAATGGGATGGCGCTTTGTAGGCTGAGTGGTTCAAGTACACGTAGGTCATCTACAGCCATCACTAGTCAATGGAGCAGGTGCCTTTGGTCTTTTACTTAAAAGGTATCATTTGACCTTTACGTGATGCCTGATTGTACCCTCACTGTATATTGGATTCACCTTGTCTGTTTGTTCGTCCATTGGTTCAGTTTATATTTCCGTCACACTTTTCTGAGGCACAGCAACTACTACGAAACAGAATGACTTTCTATTTGGTCAGCAGGTTGAAAGTAGAGAGTTGTAATATGAGAGTTCTTTTCAGATCTCTCGGACACCCACATCTACATCTATACGCTGACCAATAACCCAAAAATACATATACAAGTGATTATTGGTATCAAAGGATCAAAGGAGAATAACGAAGAAAAGAGAAAAAAATATGGAGAAGGGGCTACCCATTTGCTTTTCATGCATCTTGACTGAACCAAACTGGCTTCTATCCCAGTATACCATGAAAATAAACCCATCTGGTACAGTTCCAGTCCATTAATTGTCCTTATAGGCTAACAGGAGGATTGCACAGTTTGAAATAGACAAGAGTGATGCTCAGCTATTGTAGGTGGCAAAAAACTTTTACATAACTTAAATCCTAACAGAGCAGCAGGACCAGACGAAATTAAACCAAGATTTTTAAAAGAACTTTCACATGAAATTGCACCAATACTTACCATTATCTTTGAGAAGTCAGTTTAAACAGGTGTTGTTCCAGATGACTGGAAAACTGCCAATGTCTCTCCTGTATACAAAAAAGGCCAAAAATATAACCCTGAAAACTACCGCCCTATATCTCTCACATGTATTTGTTGCAAACTGTTAGAACACATAGTAGTTAAACACATCATGACACATGCAGATAATCACAACATTTCATTTCCCCTACAGCATGGATTTCGCAGAGGTCGATCCTGCGAAACAACTACTTGAATTTATAGATGATGTCTCACTTAACATGGAAAACGGTAAAAAAACAGATAGTTTGGTCATGGATTTTTCTAAAGCATTCGATAAAGTTTAACATTCTCTTCTAACTAATAAGCTTCACCCTTACGGGATACAGGGGGAATTAAATTACTGAATACAAAATTTTCTAAGCAATCGTAAACAGGTAGTTCTAGAGAGGGAAACATCTGAGTATGTTGTAGTTGAGTCAGGGGTTCCACAGGGGTCAGTTCTTGGACCAAGTCTCTTCCTGTATTATATTAACGACATTCCAACTGGTCTTACATCTACAGTACGTTTATTTGCAGACGACACAATAGTGTATTTGGCAATAAAATCAAATTCCGAAGCATCCACATTACAAAAAGATCTTGACAAACTGGCATCGTGGGAAACTATGTGGAAAATGGCATTCCACCCAGATAAGTGTAATGTAATTTCAGTCACCAGAAATAAAAAATTCGTAAGGGTTCCACGGAACCCAGTGTCTCGCCTACTTTTGCTGTTAATCGCAGGCTCAACAAAAATGAGGAAAAAATCAACAAAAATATTCCTTTAGATACTATCTTTTGATTGTAAGAAGCTTCTGTCAAAGTTTAATATAAATCCAGGATAGTTTATGAATCTAATAAATGTTTTAAAAACTTTAACTGCAGACTGTATTTAATGTTAACTGGAAGAAAAACTAAGTCCATTTATGTAAAATACGGATAAACAGGTACAAAAGATTAACAAAATTTCCTTCTAGATACTAGCTTTTGATCATAAACAAGCTTCTGTCCAAGTTTGGTACAAATCCAGGATAGTTTAAGAAAGTTAATAAAATTTAAAAAACTTTAACCACAGAGTGAATGTAATGTTTCCTGGCAGAAAAACTAAGTCCATTTACAAGTAAAATACGGAAAAACAGGAATTTTATTTTTACAAAATTTACTTCTGGATACTATCTTATGATCATAAACAAGCTTCTGTCCAAGTTTGGTAGAAATCTAGGATAGTTTAAGAAAGTTATTAAAATTTCAAAAACTTTAACCACAGAGTGAATATTTGTGGACGCCGCCGCCGACGACGACGACGACGACGACGCCGACGAAATGTAGGATCGCTATGTCTCGCTTTTTCGACTATAGTCGAAGGCTCGACAAAAACCAATCACATTTAACTACACATTACACAATCACTCATTAGAACATGTAACAACAGCAAAATATCTGGGGGTTACCATCAGTTCCAACCTTAAATGGGATGTGCACATAAACAACATATGCAAGAAAGCTAATAGCACCCTAGGCTTTCTAAGGAGGAACCTGAACATAAGCTCAACATCAATTAAAGAGCAAGCATATAAGTCCCTAGTAAGACCATCACTAGAGTATGCTTGCTCTGTTTGGGATGCATACTTACAACAAGACATAGATAGCATTGAAAAAGTTCAAAGGAGGGCTGCGCGTCTTTTTACCAACAAATACAGAAACACCTCAAGCGTTGGTAACATGTTACAACATCTTGAATGGTGCAGCCTCTCTGACAGAAAAAAAGACTCAAGATAGGTTATGCTTTATAAAATTGAACACGAAAATGTTGCAATACCTAAAAATAATAAATTAATCCCACAAAAAAGACAAACAAGACATTCAAATCCGAACAGCTTCCAAATTCCATCCTACAAAACACAGTACAGAAAAGAATTCTATTTTCCAAGAACTATTACCGACTGGAACAAACTACCAGATAACATTGTAAATTGCACTTCAGTAGACTCTTTCAAATCTTCAATTTCAAAGCATCAATATTAACTCAACTATTACATCATACTTAATTATACAAAGCATTTTTTTCTTTTTTTCGTATTTTTTAAAGACTGTATATATATCAATCTATGTCTTGTTGTAAGTTTCCTCCTGTGACATAATCTTCAATTTGTTGAAGGCGGTCACTATATGGTAGAATAGAATAAAGAGTTCCAGGTTGTCAGAGTTCTTGGAAAAAGCTGTACTGAAATCCATTGGTCTTTGTTGGGTATTGCCTGAATTTCATGGTATATGTTGATCTTGTACTAGTTGTCATTGGTGTCCGATCTTGATCGCATGGTTTATCCATAAGATTATTCATTACTTTGAAGAACATCGTTAGTTGTAGTTTCTGTCTCCCTGTGATTTCCACCCAGTTCTAACATACTCCCCACACTATTGATGTTTCTATAGCGGTTGGTGGCATAACAGGCAGATCAACGCTGGACCATCTCAACATTTTTTTCTGATCTTGTTATAAACAGGTTCCATACTGTTGCACACTACTAGTCTAAATTCACGGCCGACACTCGGCTAACCGAGAGATTGGTCGGTTAATCTATATTGAGTATGCGGCTATATCGGCGGTTGGTCTGTTAATTGGGTTGGCTAAAGTCTGTTAATCAGGTGTTATCGAGAAAATACTTGCAAGTTCAGTATATTTCATTGTATAACTTTTTAAATATATTTTTGTCATAAAAATTATTCATGTCTGACAAAACAATTCAATGTACTGAATCCAGTGGTGTAATTATTTTTTTTCTAGCTTCGATAAACAATCAATAAAATGAAAAGGCGGGTTACTCATCAATAAATTTATACACATTTTACACGCACAAAATGTACACAAAATGACAACTTGGCTGAAATTACTTGCATGCAATATTTTGAACATCGAAAAAAGACAGGCATTATGTTTGTTAACCATATTAATATCATTGTGTGAAAAATCTACACGAAAATCTGTATTTTGGTGATATTAATCAATTTTTATTAAAAATCTGGTCTGTTAATGGGTCGGATGTATAAAACCCGGTCTGTTATTTGGTCTGTTAAGAGTTATGAATGGCAATGAAAATATAATTTGATTGCATTATGGGGAGTTATCGGATCAAATGGGTAGGCTCAAGACGAGTGGCTAAAATATACAGAAACAACACATGAACAATGAAACATAAATTTAGACAATGGAAATTGGAAATTGATAAAAATGGTTTCGAAAAGTGTAAGGGGACGACCATTTGATATTCTGGGGGGGGGGGGGGGGGGGGGGGGGGGGAGGGCAGGAGGATTTGTTTTGGATCGGTTATTTATTTTTGTATACTAAGAGGACAGATTATCTATTTTCTGCACTATTGAAGCAAGATTTTTCATTTTCATTAAAGCAAGGGACTGATTATTTATTTTCACAACTATATTTATAATATTCGAAAACATACAATTTTTAAATTATTTGTTTAGTTATAGATATTTCATATCTTTTGGATAGTTTTGCGGTGTTTCGTAAATTATACCATAGCTTTTGTTGAAACCCCCGGCAATAACCTCACGAGACGAAGTCGAGTGAGGTTGCCGAGGGGTTTCAACAAAAAACTATGGTATAATTTACGAAACAACGCAAAACTATCCAAAAAATATGGAATATCTGTTTTAACCTATCGCATCTTTTGTTGTTTAAAATTGTATATTTCATATATTTTTG